GAGCTCCTGGAGGAGATTAGGGCCCTGCGGGACCTTATGCAGTTCCACAGGGCCTGTAAGACGGCACTCTTCCGCCAGGCTTTCACATAGGGGCCACCACTACCACCGCCACCAATGAGGTGGACAACATCGGGGTTAAGGATGGCCTGGGAAGATCTGCCACAACTTCTGCGTGACCGATACCACTGGATTTACCTGGTTGAGCTATAGGATAACATCATCCTTGGAGAACTGTCTATTTACCATCTGGCATGTATCCGGAGACCATCTTGTTAAATGAGTACAATTGTTATTAATGTTTTTATTGCTTTTACCTGTTTTATATGGGCTTCGCCCCTTGTAAGCCGCCCTGAGCCCGCTCTGCGGGGAGGGCGGGGTACAAAATCTTAATAAATAAATAAAGAGGGGAAAACCCGGGAAGCACAAGAAACACCATGAAGCTGTGGGGACATATGGGGAAAACCCCTCTTCCCCATAGACTCCAAGGCAGTACAAATGATCTGTCTGTAGTGTGTATGTGTCCATTGAATCTCATCCCGCAGTGAGCTTACTGCAAATAAACCTCAGATGAGCCTTCCACTCAAGGACAAAGAGCTGTCATCATCCAACAACAGCAATAACAATTTGAACAGGCCTCTCCAACAGGAAGCTCGAGGAGAAAACCTGCATTTCATCACAATGCTAAGCTATGTGCTACTGCTAGTCTCTCAAGATAATTGCATATCTAGGAGCCTTGGCATAACAATGACTTGGCATAGATTTCATTCCTCCCAAAGCATCTCTGCAGTGTGTTCACTTCTTCCTTCCTTCTGTTATTCTAACATGTTTTCTTTTTGCTGGCATTGTGTTAATTGTGATTATGAACAGTAAGAGTGAATTAATTTCCAGATTTTGTTCAGAGAGTTGGGAATTTTAAGATCAGGTTTATGAAGCGAAGGAAACGCAGACAGAATGTCTGACAGAACTGAGTAGACTTACGGAGCTCAGAAGTAAATTCTGTTGCATTCAATGGGACTTACCTTCCTGGGCTCAGGACGGCCAAGAAAATGCAAGGGATATAAATGCGTGCAAATGCTTGGAGGGCATGTGCTACGGTAGTAGGTACGGTTGATGGGTACATGATGCGAGACCTACTGGATTCCTAGGTACGCTGCCCTCAGTAGAAGAAAGGTGAGCTAAAACTCAAATTAAAATTTTTAAAAATAACACAATTGTTAATATCCACTAATGGCAGGAAGCAGTGAAACTTTAGTAACGATAAAAAACTGTATCTGCAGCCTCTTAAAGCTTCTAGGAATCTCCTTCTTTTGAAGGTTTTCAGTCAGAAGTTAGGCAGACATCCATCAAGGGTAGGGTTGCCAAGTTGATTTTTGCCGGGAGCAGGGGCTCCCGGCCGGCGTCTGGTGCGCACGCCGCATGCACGTCACCCGGAAGTGACATGACGACGCCAGGCACGCTGGGGGTGGTGCCACGGCCATACAAGGGAAAACCATAGTTTTCCCTTGGATGGCCGTCGCCCCGCCTCCACGTGCCCGGCATGGTCGTGTCACTTCCAGGTGACGCGCACGTCGGGGTTCCCCCTGGGGCCCGATCCGGCGGCGGCGGGGAACGGGCCTCTGGGGCGGGGATTTCCCCGCCCCCCGGGGGGACTTGGGAAGCCTAATCAAGGGTGTTTGTGTTGCTCCAGTGATCTCCTAATTCTCGGCTGGGGCACTTAGCTATGCCACAAGAGGGGACTGAAACTGGCTTAGCCACCATTTTGGACACAGCCACCCCTCTATACCCCTCGATGGGGAAGTGTCCATATAGCATTAACTCCCCGGTCTGCTAATATATGGGCAGCAACATTATGCTCTTGGAGAGCATCTGGACAGATGCATCCTGGGTTATAACTGGCGGGAATAGGGGAATCCCGAGAGGTCCCTCATTGCATAGGGCCATTTGTGACCTTTCACTGATGGTACAAAGGCAAGAGCAGTCACCAGGCTAGCCGGTAGTCCCTTCTTGTCCATTCTTCT